ATATATATATATATATATATATATATATATTTTTTTTTTTTCATTTGATATTAACACATTCACGATGCTTTTATTGTGAAAAAATAAAGAAATATACAATATAAAAAGAAAAAGCATGGAGTGCGTTTTACAATATTAAAATTTATTCATTTAACTGTTTTATTCTTTTAATCTTTTTTGTATCCTATGTTTCATATCGCGACAATTTATTTGAAGCATATACATATATTCTGAACGTCTCAGAATACACATTACATAAGGAATGTAATATACGAGCGTGCACGCACGTATGCAATAACGGAAGCTTTGTAACTGTATCACGCCATGCTTATTTGCCGATTGAGAATATATGAGGGGGGGAAGGAGTCGAGATGTCATAAATCTTTTCACACAGAGGGTCGCAATTATCTCATGCATTAAAAGTACGATGGTCGGTCTCCTTTTCTCGGATCAACACTTGGGATCGGAATGCCAAATGTTGAACAGTGTTGTAATATGGCAAGCATATTGTATTATCCAATATGAAAAAGATTATGTCGAGATTTTCAAATCTTATCAAATTAACGTATAGCAATACTTTTGTTGTTTTTCTATATAAGAATTATTTAAAATTTTTTAAACTGCATTATAATAATAAAATTTTCTTTGTACAAAAGAAAGTTTCCGTGACAAAAGTCTGATACAAACATATATTAATAGAAAAATGGAGAATTCTTATTATGTATATTTATAATTGTGCCTCTTTAAATCTTTGGCATTCATCAAGGAACGTATGCATGTTTGCACGTCTTTACTTCGTAATGCAACTATGTCGGAATTTCTCAGCTCACGTGTAATGTGTCCTACAAAAAATACTAAGAAATCTCAGCAATTTCACTAAACAAATGCTCTTTAACGGTATCCGTGAAATAGAATTATACATAATTCACAAAAATCTGATTAGTATATTTCATTCAAATTGTACAAAAATTGAAGCAGAATACGTGTAGTGTGATAAAATTATAGTTATAATTAAGAAATTATATCAAACTTATATGAATTTTAAAGAGTTAACAAGATATATAAATACAGATAGATAAATACAAAGTAAATTGAATTTAAAAAGCGTAGAAATAATATATTTCAAATAGAAATAAAATCAATTATCCCAAAATTAATTAATTTATTGCGTACATGCTCGTATATTATACTCCTTATGTAATGTGTATTCTGAGACGTTCAGAATATATGTATATGTGTCAAATAAATTGTTGCGATATGAAAGATGGGATACAAAAAAGATTAAAAGAATAAAACAGTTCAGTTAAATGAATAAATTTTAATATGGTAAAACGCATTCCATGCTTTTTCTTTTTAATCCTTTTAAAATAACATTCATTTTTCTCTTAAAATCATTTACTTTCTTATCAAAATGCGATCTGAGTAAACTTCTATGCATTTTTATACAAAAAATGTTATGTACAATTTTTTAACAAAATAAGCAAAATTAGTTTTTTAAAGGCAATGAGATGCGAGAATAAGACGAAACATTCTTAAACGTGCCGACATCTGTGAGCATATTCAGGGACTTAAGCCATTTTCTTCGTTTAACAGGCAGTAAACTACAAGCCCTGGCGTCGTCATAAGCGTTAGTGTTTATCGGCCAATCCCGGAGCAGACTCGGGATCTGCTTCTGAATTTAACCGAAAGATGGTACAAGTAATCATTAACAGAAAAAAATATGTATAATCATTGCTAAAAAGACTCAATATTTCTTCTTTTTATGATTTTTAAGTACCAAAGTTAAAATAATAATTTTTAAATATTTATACGTTTCGAAAAAGCTTATCAAAAAGTATTGCAATTTTTTATTCATAATTCTACTATGACATATTTTAGACAGAAGTATATTAAAAACTAACTATAATTATATCTCAGAACGTCTAGAAATAAATAAAAATAATCATAACAGTAAAAACACTTCAAAATGTGATATCAATAATTCACATTTATTATATATTTCCAACTTCAAAAATATGTATACAATAGAAAAGTCATAATTTATGAAAAAAATATAAGACATTTTTAAGATTAAGATTTTTTAAAATTAAAGATAAAAATATAATAAACATTTAATTTATTTGAATATTGGCACGTATCTTTAATTGTTTTCTATTATTTTTAAAACTTTATAAATATGGTTTCACGAAAAAATTAATCGTGTCACTTATTCACTGATCAATTTGTACTTAAAGAAGATATGAAGAGAAGTTGCTTTTAGAAAAAGCGACGAATGACTGAAGAATAGAAGGTGAAGAGATAAGAGTGGGTCGCTAAAGTTTTTTTTTTGCGGACAGATGCTACCTTGCAGAATTAAGTAATACAGACATATCGTTCTTTCATCGAAGATGGGTCGAACTACGAGTCAATATAGAAACGAAGAAGTGAATGATGCGCTTCAGGATTTCATAACTTATTCGATTCTGTGCCAAGATTTTTTTCCTACCTAATGATGGTCCAGTCTTATTATTACTCTTTTATAGCTATGACATATAAATAGACATATGATATATGATTCAAAAAGATGAATATCGTGAAAAACATGAGAAGATTTGTCAAGATATTTATGATATTGAGGAGCATTATTTAATTGCACAGACATTAAAATATAGATATATGGTAATAAGTGTTTTTTGAACCAATTCTATATTTAGAAAAATATTGGATATTTTCGATCGTTACCCAAAATGTATCGCATAAGACAAATTGCAATATTGCAAATTATGTTAATAAAAACGAATATATCGTTGAGACTCCAGGTGGTAGTCATATGAAAAAAGAACAAGAGATAACGCTTATTGTGACCTGATGAACGAGCGGTGAAACTAACAGACAGGCTAACAGGTCAACGCAATAAATAACTCCGGTCGCGACGTATCTAGAGACATTGTGCCAATCCTGAGTCAGCTACCGTACGGATTTGGTTTAGTTTTGTGCTCCGTTGCATAAATACAAAAGTTAGCTACCTGCTACCTGAGAAACTACTTTACTAGAAACTTAACTTTCTACTAGACTTTTGGTCACGCATAAAATAAAACATTGATTTTATTCTTAAAAGCGATCTTTTCTATTATATTTTCATTCAAATAACATACAAGAAAAAGTGTAAAACTTTTAACAAAAAAAACAATAAATTTTAATATAATGTATTACTGTATATATTGCATCTGTATATATTGCAATCAAAAACATATAATAAATTATAAGTTTCATGCATTTTATTTATAAAATCAATAAAATGTTTTATCTTTTCGTTCATAAACATCAGTTATGATAACGATTTGAAGCCTGAGAAAAGAAGATGCAATCGTAATTGTAAATAAATTTTATAAAAATATAACACTTACCAAACTGACTCCTCATCCAAGGATACAACGGACTTGGTAAGTTCGCACTCGACGCACCTTGAGGCGCGCCTTGCTGTTGTTGACTGAGCGACGATGCAACAACGCTTTGATGTTGCTGAGCTTGCTGTTGCTGTTGCGGGTGCATTCCACTTTGTCCCTGTTGCGATGCAGATTGAGATTGTTGTTGCTGCTGGTATATCATATGTTGTTGCTGTGCCTGTAGATGCTGATGCTGCGATTGCTGCTGCGGATGCTGCGATTGCTGCGTCTGCATATGAGGGTGTTGGCTGTGCATTTGGTGGTGCATCTGCGATTCGACGAGAGGCGGGCTATCCGGTCCGTCGAGAACGCTGCCTTGATGATCGACAGCAGCCGCCTGAAGTTTGCAACTGGCATAGACGATAGGAGTGGACGGATGTCCGTTAGGGGTTGATGAGTGTCCCATGTGACCCATACTGGTGTTCGGAGACGTCGACCTATAACCGGCCATGCCGTCCATACTTCCGTGTTCCTGTTGATGTTGATAGTAGGCCGCGTTCCGCATGTCGATCCGGTTGTACGGGGGAAACCTTGGATAAGGCATGTCTTGCTGACTTCCCGCGGTTCCATAATGATGGGCGGATACTCCTTGACGTAACAAACTCGGATCGCAGGGATCACTGGCTTGTTGAGACTGTTGCTGGACCGATTGTGTTTGCTGAGGTACCTGTACGGCCGCACCATAGTGCTGCTGATGCTGATGCGGGTGTTCCACCCCGCCATTTCGCAGGTCCGGGATATACGAATTCGCAAAGTACGAACTCATGCTACTGTCCCACCTGTCCTACCTGCTTATATCACTTCTCTACGTTGCTGACTGACTTTCCTTTGGTTATCTTCAATTGATCTACTACTCTTCTCTCTATCCCTTTATCTTCGTAAATTTATTTTGTTTTGTACTCTTCCTGTGCGGACACACTGGCACACGTCTTTACATAGATACAGATTTATCACTTCGGAATTGCATTTCTTTACGAATCTTTTTTTATTTTTTTCTCACTTGACCCTTGTCATCTCACGCACTCTTGAGCAGCACAGCACACACACACACAAACATATATATATATATATATATATATATGTATATATGTATCAAATTACCATCATTTTGGATCACATGTACATCATTTGACTTTGTATCACACTGAGCTCACTACCAAAAGAGGATAAAATTATTAACTGGAGCACTACAGAACCTTTTTAATTAGCAAGTGGAGAAGGAGGAGAGTATACCACGTATACACAAGGTGGTAGCGGAAGATAATAATCAAAGTCCTTCGTCTTCCCCGGTGTGACACCTTCGTTTAAAATGCCAAGCCACTCCAGACCCGTTTCGTTCCTCTGTCCACCCTATAATCGAAATTAAGCCGCACCTGTAACACAAAAAAATTTACGTATTACACATTACGTTATTTGTACAATATTACAATATTAAGAATTATATTAATTACGTCTGATTCATATGTATCAGGCATCACATAAACTTCAGTGTAAATAATAATTATATTAAATTTACGATATCATTAAAAATACTGATAAATTATTAAATAATAAAATTATTAAATATGTATTAGTAATTGGCAACTGTTATGAATTTCACAATCAGCAAAAAAATTTTCAAATAAATATCATTATTTTTGCGAAGATTTTACGATATATGAATATATAACATTGCAGACATAACTGAAACTTTGCATGATCCTTGTCAAGCGAACTGAATGTACTGAACAGAGTTTAGCGCGTGAATGACAGAAGGCAAGTTTCACATGTGCTCGTCACGGTGACGGCCATCGCACAGACGCCAAACTTATTAGCGTTCTGTGTGGGCGGGCTAAGCGATCGTTAAATTTGGAAAAATTTCCATCCATTAGGTAGCATAGCCACTTCCTACAAAAACCTTTCCCCTTCGCATCAATCTCTTTTTCGGAAATTTTGTAAAGGTTCCGATGCGTATGTTGCATGAAATTAGTATAATAGGATGTATTGAAACCATTCATGTCTAACTCAATATATCAGGTTAGAATAAAACAACTAAATACATGTACAAGAAATAAGTGAGAATATAGCGATTTTAATTTACCTAATTAATCTTTCAAAGTAAATATATATTCATATTTCAACCAAGCTATTACATAACTGAATTTAAAAAATTATTTTTTATAGCTTCATATGATTTTGTGTTTATAAAGAAATTTAGTTTAATTATTCAAATGTTCTACAAACATTATTGCTTTCATTATACACATTATTAAAATACTTACTATTAAAATACACATTATCTTATTATTAAAAAAAATACATTTAAATTAATTTGTATTTAAAAATTACATAAGGCATATTATTCATATTTTATCATTAAATCCTATTTAATAATAAAACACTAAAGAGAATAACAAAAAATAAATACATAGCATTCGATTAAACACATTTCGCAAGAATGAAAATGCTATAAGAAAAATTATTAAAATAATATCGAATTAATAATATTAAAAATATAATTAAAGATCAATAAATATAGCGATTAGTAATGTAACTAATTCTGTTTTGTATGTATGTATAATGTAAAGCAAACATAATGTGTTTGATCCACAACAATTTTTACGCTTTACAAAAATAAAAATAAGATTAATACCTATTCTTAACAATTATATGAATATAATATTTTTGCTTATTCTAAAAGATATTATTTGCACTTAGCCGGGATATCATCATTAACAAAATAATAAGACATGGCTTTCTTATCGACTGAAATACGAAAGGTTTTTGCCTTTTATGAGACTAGTTGATCTGCCGATTCAAGATCAAAACCTTCTATACCGACTATATCTGATGTTTCAAAGTTGTACAACTTATTCAAATACAAATCATGTAATTTTCGCAATTTTCAAATTCTATAGTTTCTTAAATTTTTTTTAAATTTCAATGTTGGTTATATAAAAATACAGAATTGATTAAAGTTTCTAGTTAAAAAGTTTCTAATTAAAAAGTTTTTATAAAACATTGCAAATTATTCTCTTAATGCTGAAAGAACTTTGTTAATTCTTTAAATATACAACAAGATAACATTTAATATACTGTTAAAAATGATTAATAAAAAAACATGATCCTTTAAAACCAATAATACATTTAGCTTTTACATTGCAAAAAATTTATCTCGTAGCAAAGGAATAAATGAAAATATACATGTGAATGTACATATGGTATTGTTGCGGGTGGCATGACAGTGTGGGTGGTGCTAAACACGGAGTTAGGAACGGGTTCGGATGTGCAACGGGCAGCATAGCAGAGTAAAGGGTGTGAGTGTGAGAGAGGGTGAGAGGTACGGCCCTTGGGAGTTTGCTGTACATGAGAACGGGTCGGACGCGGACGATCGCGATTAACATTCCGGCCGCTAGCTTGCTGTTCGCGCGGCGCTTTCATTAATTCCAGCGTATTGATTCCACGGATTGATGAATGGCCGCCGATAGCGATTCCACGCGTTCGCCACCCCCTTCCCCAGCACCTCTCCTTCCTCGTCTCTCGCGTATAAATTCAACCTCTCGCAGGATTTGAACTCAATTCCCGCCCCGTAAATTCCCCTTTATGTATCCTCCTCTGAAGTGCAAGTATCTGAATCCTATTGACGTGAACGGAGTATTTTTCGCAGCTTCTCGTCCTCTTTGTCCTTGCATCTCTTTAATTTAATAGCGAAGTGTGCACAATCAGTTATCGTACGTTACGCTTGATTTTCCAAACTATTTTGTGAATCTCAAAATTTAGAGAAATTCCTTTAAAATTAAAATAATTAAAAAAATTAAATCAACAATAAATCTGTATAACATTAACAATGTTATTTGTAAAATAGTCTCTTCCTTTATCTAATAAGGTGGTAACATGTTAATTATGTCAAATTCAAGATACATATATCAGATAAGTATTTTAGGCCTCATTTAGTGGTGACATCGACCGGAAAGATCATAAACCAACTGATTATTTAAGGGTCTAAGAAGTACATAATATTGTCGGCAGATGGCGATAGTGATAGCACGGAAGAAGAGGAAAAAACGGGGTGGAGCATGTCTGACAGCTGGGTGGGTTCGGGGCCAAGGTGATTGAAAACAGGGTGGAGCGTCATGTGACGCCATGGTTGGATATGGAAGTGACGTCATATAACTACGATGGCCTCTAGTTAGCAAAATGGCCTCTGGATAGGAATTTCTTTGTCCCGCATTCTCTTATCTACTATGTTGATGTAATCAAAAGAAGGCGGTCGAGGTGTCGATTGTCAACTGTTCATCCCAGGCGAAGCGAATTGCATTTATTACATTCATATTGTTTCGATTTAAAAAAATAGAAAAGATTAAACTAAAGATAATAAATATAATTGAATTTGAAAAATGATGAAATCTGATACTTATAATCGTATTCATTATAAGACCGTATAAGAAAGACAGCAAGAAATGTTGAGCGATCTGTTTATATGTATGTGTATCACCGGCTGATGTAGATAAAACGGCTGGATAAAATAAACGACGTCGTTAGCAGCCGCAAAGATTGAGCCATAAATGGCACTTGGATTTGACAGTTATGGAACTCGTAGCTCGTCTCAGTCGTTCGCACCTCGTAAAATAGTCGTAAACTAAACGCGTTGTAAACTGAATGTATTTCTGATGCCACGTACACCAGCGGAGTTATATTAAAAAGTTACGAGCTCCTGACCTTGTACTATGTAACACTTAGCGCACATAAGATAGCAGCTCTTCTCACGCTCTTCTCACGCTCTTCTCACACTCTTCAGGTGTTCACATTTAAGTGGCATACTACGGTATTTTAAGGCGCAAGAAGATAAATAAAAATTGATGCACATTTAAGTAAAGTATATAAAATTAGAGGTGTAATGTGGCAACAAACCAGTAATATATAATTAACAATAACCACTGTATTATAAATCCTTAAAGTCAATTTATACTTTAGCTAGTATCACGATCAATTTTTTATTCTACGAGCAATATGTTAATACGGTGATTGACGACTTTCATATAGCCCACACACTACAAGGAATTATATAAAATGGGCGCGAAGCGAACGTAGTAATAGCTATCATTATATATAACATATAATTTGGAACAAAAGAAGAAGAAAAGCTAACTCGCAAAGAAACAAGTAAGACTCATGTAAGATTATTAAGTAAAAATTGATGTGGGGATATTTACGAAATATCACGATTTCGAGATACTTTGTTATATAAAATGATCCGTCCTACAGAAACAGGATGACATTATTTTTTTAACTGTATATTATACCATAATCGAATTTATTATATGCATTCGATATTGCTGTCGTATGATTTATTCGTTTCGACGGGAAGTTCTCGGACATTAAACCTGTCTGGACTAGCGACCATTGTACAATGAATTTACATTTTAACGCGTTATTATACATATATCATAATTTTTAATAATACTGAGAATTACGCGTGTAACAATGATAAAAGAACGCTTTAATTAGATCGGTTAGTGTTTCGTTTCGTATTGTTCTAAAATACAATAATATTAATGTGCCATTAATTACATTAAATACAAATGAAGAATCCACATACAAATATCTTGCATACAAATATCTCATATTAAAACTGAATTTTACAAATTACATCTAGTAGTACAATATTTTTTCTAACTAATAAATAATAAGTATAATACTTTCTCTTGCGAAATGAAAATTAAGCATCGAAAATATATTATGATACGTCAAATGTGTGAAGACTGAAAGAAATATACTGAGAAACAACCACGCTAGATTAAGCAAAAAAATGCGAAATCACGGTGGAACACTTCAGAGATACCGTTACGCGCATTAAAGGATGCCCGGTTGGCGGGAGGTCGAGGTGGCATTAAAAGGTGTTCGCGATCAAGGATTCCAGCACGCACATATACGAACACGTATACTCAGACGACATCGGTATCCTGATTCTTAGCCGTATGCAACGCATATGCGTGCATTTGCTTCCGTGATCGTGTACGTAAGGACGGTGCTACGATATAAATACATGGGCCACGCGTGTGTGTGTGTGTGTGTGTGTGTGTGTGTGTGTGTAGGTATGCGAGCCGATCAGTCGAATGCTAACACGCATGTGCGATTAGCATAATCGAGTCGGGTTGCAGGGAACCAGTTTGCAAGGCCACTGAAAAGCCGGCCGGTCGGCCGTCCGCCCGGCCGATCGTTTATGCCGTTTCTCTGTCTCTACCGGCGAACGCGCGATCCATCCGTAACACCGATAACGTCAGCTGAACGCGAAAGCAATGGTGACGATGCATCGTTCACCACGAATTCCAGCTGCGCGGGTATTACGTGAGCTTTCTCTCGAATTACGATATCTCGATAAGAGTCCGATCCC